GGGGCAGAGGCTGGGGGGCCCCGGGAAGCCGTCGGCTCTGGCCGCTGTGGCCCGGCTTCCTGCTCTGGAGACTGGGGGGCGGAGGCTATCAGCGGGCGAGTGTTGCATCTGGTGAAGGGGGCTTCGTGTAAGGACCCGAGCTCCACCGCAAGACCCCCTTTTTTGAACGCCCTGCAGCCCCCTTGGTGGTTCAGTGGTTAAAGGCCCAGCAGATTTCCTCCGTAGCTTCCCAACCCCCACCTCAAATTAAAAGCCAACTGCCAGTGCTGGGCCGCTCAGCCTGAGCCGGGCGGGGTCGGGTGCTGGAGTAGGGTGGGTGGGGGGGTGCTTCTCAGAGATCTCCTGAAATTGTGCTCAGAGCTAGGAGACCGGCTTGTAGAACAAAGAGCTAACTTTTCAAAGCCGGTTTGTCCAATGGAGGGTGGGGTTGGCTGAGTTCTGGGGAAGCCGAGGAAAGGGGGAGGTGTTGGGGGGAGGGGGAGGGTTGCCTTGTGGAAATTCACTGACCCCTGGGGGCCCTTACGCGCCCCCGCCCCCCCCCAGCCCAGGCTGGACTCGTTCATCTGGTTGCCATTATACGTTTGGGGGTGGGGTGGAGAGTAGAACTGGTTGTTTCCCCCGCACAGTTTGGGGTGGGATCCTGTCCTCTTGTAAGCTCCCTAAGATCCTAAGGCAAAACCTGCCCCTCTGCCTCCTCTCCCTGTGTGGAGGGGAGGCCTCTGGGATTTTGTCCCTTTTACCCACCACCCAAGCTGGCTCCAAGTCCATATAGTCCCTCCTTTCTGTCTGAACTGGTGGGGGTGGGGGGACTGAACGAAAGAGTGGTGCAAGGCTGGGGGCACGGGATGGAAGAGGGGTGCAGAGCCCCAGGGGCCAAGTTCATTGCTGACCTGGAGCCGGATTATGTTTGGGAAAGGATAGTTCATTGGATACTTTGTCTCTCCCCTCCCCCTTGGGGTTCCAGCTTCCTCAGTGACCTTTGGCCTGTGAGTCAGGATGAGGAGGTGGGGTTTGAGGTTCTGAAACACATTTGAACTTGCTCTTGGGGGAAGGGGGCCTGTAGGGCTGCTGCTGTTTCACTGTCCCTCTTGGGCTTGAATGGGTGGGAGGAGAGGAGGGGACATAGTGTGGGCACCAGGGAAGGTGCTGATCTGCCTGGTGACCGTGCCAGCCTCTGGAGGGTGGGACTTGAACTTGGAGGCACTAGATGAAGAAATCTCCCCTTGAGAACTTATCTGTCCTTGCTCACTGGGGTTTCTGCCCTTCCCCGATGGTAGGGATTTTGGCCTCTGCATCTTGCGTTCTCTGCGTTCCTCTTCTCCACAGACATGAGCTGGGAAGGGACAGTGGGCACTTCACTGCATGAGGCAGAAGCAATATCCGATGGAAGGATTACTAGCCCGGGAGCTGGGAGGCTTGGTCCTAGTTCCGGGTCTGCTCCGCCCAGCTCTGGGCCTTAGTATTCACCGTCTGTCAGATGGGTGTGATGATGTCATTTCCTTGGAGGTGAGGCAGTGCACTAAAGTGCCTGCCAAAGTGCCAAAGGGGGTGTGGTATAGGCTGTGGCCTCCCTCCCTTTCTGGGATACTCTGTCCAGCCCCACACCCATTCCCCTCATAAAAACCTTCAGTGGTGTGTGTCAGAGGGGAGAGGGGCAGGGACCCTGCAAGGTGCGCTCCTCAGTTCTCTTGCCCTAGCTGGAAGAAGACGTTCAAGTGGGGGTTCCCCTGGGAAGTGGGAATTGTGACTCCTCCCTCCCTTTTAGAACTGTCCCTGTAGGAAATGGCCTTAGAGAGAGGTCCTCAGAGCAGGAGGCCTGAAATACCCAGGTATCAGACCCGTTCCAGGCATTGAGGACAGGTACCTGGAAGGGGGGGAGGGTCAGTGCCTGGAGGGTGCTGGGCTGAGACCTGGGAGGGGTAACATTCAGTCCCATGGGTGCCGTAGCTAACCAACTTCCCAAGGCTTCCCACGTACAGCAGGAGAGAGTCAGATTAGGCTCACCCCTTTCACTGCAATCCCCTATGGCACTTGGCCCACAGTGTGGTCCGAAGCACAAGCCGTGTCCTTGGTGTTAGCCTTTTCTCCTCCCTGAGCCTTATCTCCCAAAGGCATAGGTGCGTAAAGGCCTTGTCACCTCTGAAGGCCACCCTGCCCCCAGCCTGCAGTACCCAGTGTGCTCTGCATGCTGGAGAAATATGTATTGCTGATGACGGTGTTTGAGGAAGGAGGTCGAGATTTGCTTTCCCAGAGGACTTCTGGGATTAGAGCTGGGGGAGAAACAGGGTGACCTCATTTGCTCATTCATTCGACAAATATTTATTGAGCACCTACTTTGTGCATGTACTTTATGTCTGGGAACCTGCATTGTTAAGAATCTGACCACATCCCTCTCCCCTGGGCTTCCCGGTTTCCGAAAGCAGGTGGGAGGGTAGAGGATTGGTGTGCTGCCAGTTCCCCTGGAGTCCCCCATTAGGGCGGGCTCTGCCTCTGGTTGTCTTGAGCGCTTCCTCCTTCCTCAAAGGGGCAGAGTCCTTGCAGCTGTGGTGCCCCGTTTTTTCCTAGCTGAAGCTTAGAGTACCCCACAATCATGTTGTGACCATCCATTCATAATTGCTACTACGTATTACAACGTGCCAGGTTTAGTCTTCACAGCAGCCTTACAAAGTGGGCGTGATTGCTCCTGTAAATTACGAACCCCATGCACGGAGTCTCAAATCGATGATGAGGCTCATCGCGCTCTCTTAACCAGAGCTGGAATTCACATCCACAGTTATTTCTGCTCAGCTCTTCTGCTAGTGTGTTTGCAAAAAGTGCTTTTACATTTTACACTGTCTCATTAGTGCCAAAAGCAGGTCCCACCCCTTTCTGACCCTGTCTGGAGGAATGCTCTAGGCCTGGGGTCTTCAGGGGGGATCTGGGACACAAAGTAATGTCCCCCTGGGAATTTGTGGAGGTGCAGTAAAGATCTATGCCCTTAAGCCAGTGGCCCAGGTGGCCAGCAGAGCTAGGCTGGTGTTGCCCTGGAGGAGGGAGAAACTGTAACCGACAGGAAGGGAGGGGAAATCTCATACTCCAGCCCTGAGTCACGGCCACCCCAGGCAGCCTGGGTGCAGGGGGCAAGGTGCCAGGCTGCAGGCGCAGTGACCTGAAGCTTGCCACATCCCTCCCACCCAGAGCTGTGGAGGGACAGGCCCAAGCCTAGCCCCTCTCCTTGCAGGGCTTCTCTTCCTACCAGCCTCTGTTTGCCTTTCTGTGGAGTGGGTTGCAGGCGGGCAAGGGAAAGTCAAGGGTGACCCTCCCCCAGAGCCTTGGATCTGGGCTGAGAGGCTGCTAATGGGCACCAAGGGTTTGGTCTGGGGACTGTGTGGCTTCTGCGAATAGGGAAACCATGGACCTTGCAGGCAGTGAGGGGGATTAGGGTTGCAGGCCTCCAGGTGCACTTTGCTCCCGAGTCCTGAGTCCCGGGAATGCTCTGAAATCTTCTTACCTGGGGCCTCTGAAAGAGGGAGGCTCTTGGTCTGGGACAGGGCTCATGGGGCAGGGCAAGGAGGCAGACAGAGGGTCACTGGGGGATTGTATCGATTTATTTCCCTGACAGCGTCCTTCAGCAGACTCTGTTGCAACAGGACAGGGTTTTTTTCATCCTGGGCTCCTGGTGCCCAGCCCAGGCATGGTTCACAGGGGTTGTGGGGGACTGGCCACTTTCTGCCTCCCCTCCCCACGGCTTTCCTACTCCAAAAAGGACACAGCGGCAGGAGCTGCTGGATTTTCTTGAACCTTGGAGCCCTCTTCCTGAGAGCGGAGGGGAGCGGCATGAAGCAGCTAGAGGTGCCAGGCTTGGAGCCTGCCCCATCCCGTGACCCCACTTTACTGAATACTTACCTGAGGGTACTCAGTCCACTCCTGTTTTCATTCTGCCCCGGAGCCCCCTCTAAGGGAACAGGTGACCACTGTCCCCTGCCCCAGTCTCTAATGGTGTCTAGCCCAGAGCAAGGGGTCTCTGGGGTGAGGGGAAAAGAGCCACTACTGATGGAGATGGGCACCATCACTTGTAGAGGGGCTCCCCTCCAAGTGGCAGCTTGGAGGGGTCTTGTGGAGCCCCTGGGTCGAGTGTTGGCCCTATAGCCCCAACCTGGTTGGTGCACTCTGTCCCCCTTCTCCAGGGGGCCTGGCCATCTGCTAGAGTAGGGGTGTCTACCTCCCTCCCTTTGTCTCCCCCACGTCAATCAGGAAGCAGCCTTGGAGGTCCCAGGTCCTGGGACAGTGTGTATTCCTGCGAACGTGTGTGTGAAAGTGGGTCACGGTCTGGATTCCGGAGAATGTTTTTCCTGGCAGGCCCCCGTGGGGGTGGGGGGAGGCGGGGGCCCAGGCAGGGGCATGTGCAGCTGAGCAGGCAGAGGCCAGCAGACTGGGTGGTGACAAGGCTGGGGCACTCTGCCAACGCCTCCCAGCCACTGGGGGAGGGAGTGGGGCTGTCACTTCGGGAGCCTGTGGGGGCAGGGACCACCCTGTTTTAGTTTTCCCGTGGGTTGTATGTGTTAGGGTTATGTACTGGAAGAGTCTGGAGTTTGCTGTATGTTGGGGAGGGCGGTGCTGTTATAGGCCCAGGTTGGGGGGGTGGCTAAGCTTAGCCCCCTTTGCTTCCAGACCTCCAGCTGGCCTTCTTCCCAAGAGTGGGTCTCCTATCACTCTGTTTAATCTTCCACCCATTAGGTTTTTTCCTTTGGGTCTCCTCGATAGGGAAAATACCCTATTAGAACATGATTTCCTCCTGAGATTAGCTTGGGGGGGCGTCTCTGGTTGAAGTGGGTCGTGGTGGGAGAGGTTGATTCCCAGATTCTCAGCTTTCTTTCTGCTGTCCCCTCCCCCTAGTGTCTCGGAAGCCTCTCTTGGTTTGGGAACCACATTTGGAAAAGTGCCGCCTTGGGGGAATTCCTTGACAGATGGCCAGGAACCAGCCCTGGGGCTGGGCTCCTTTGAAGGTCTCCCCAGCCCTTCCCTGGCCTCCTCCTTTGGGGATCTGGAGGGTCTCTCTCCACTGCTGGGAAAGTCACTCAGGCAGCCTGGATTCTGGGGTCCTGGCAGCAGGATGTCTGGTTGGTGCTGATTGGGGGGCTGGGGCCTCCTGGGTGTCCTGTTTGCGTGAGTTTGCCTGAGCATCCACACTTCTCAGGGATGGAGTCACGTGTACTGCATCATTTCTCATCACCTGCTGCTCTGCCCCCTCCATCGGCCACCCCGGGTTGGTCCTGTTGGCTCAGCTCCAGGTCCTGGGCTTTGCTGGAGTCGTACCTGTCCCTCATTCTCACATGCACAAACGGGGGAATAAATTGGAGCTGTGGTTGGGCACCGTGAGGCCCCACCTGGTCCCCAACAACCTCCAGTGTCATCTGCTGAGCCCCCTCGGCCGAGGTTCGTGCCTGCCATGCCCAGCACCTACCATCCGGGTACTCCTCGAAGGTGCCGAGTGCTGGGCTGGGGTCTTTGCAGGTGATTTCTCATGAATCCTCAACAATCCCAGGGGGTAGGTGTTGTTATATCCATTCTACAGATAAGGAAGTGGGCTCCTCCCAAGTGCAGGGCCCTGCCCAAGGTCATACAGTTAGTGGGGTGGAACTTTGATGTCCCCTATAGGGGTTCCACCTCCAGGGCTTTGAAGCAGATCCCCTCAGTACCTGGGGGAGACTAGCTGCCAGGCACTCTCCTACACTCCGGCTGGGAGCATCACGCAAGGATCACGTGGGGCGTGTGTGTGTGTGTGTGTGTGTGTGTGTGTGTGTCAGTGTCAGGAGGCCCTGGTGCGGGATACCTGGGTTCTGGGGCTGTGTGCATGGGGGCTGGACCTTCCTCTTCTGAGGCCTTGGAGGTTAGAGGAGCTGCCCCTTCATATTCAATGGCTTCTTCTTAGCAACCCAGCTCAGCTTGGCATCAGCAATGAGGCCTTTCCAGCTCTGGGCAGGAAGGGTGGTCGGTGGTCGGTGGAGCTGACCTGGGGCTGCTGCACCCCATATCTGGGCTCTTCCCCACTCATCCTTCCTGCCTGCTCTTCTCAATCAGTTCACATGGCTGATCGGTGGGGGGTAGGGAAGGGGAGAATATCATCTGCTACTAGAGCCTGTGACCTGAGATGCCCCCGCGACCTGAGATACCCCCAGCTCTCCAGGGGTGATTTCATGTCCTCCCCACAGCTGTGGACCTGGGACAGTCCCTGGGAGGGAACGCCCCTCCTGGTGTCTAATGGATGTCCTCCTTCTGTTTCCATCCCCAGTTTTGGCATAAAGCATGCTTCCATTGCGAGACCTGCAAGATGACACTGAACATGAAGAACTACAAGGGCTATGAGAAGAAGCCCTACTGCAATGCGTGAGTCCTGCTTCGGGCAGGGGCTGGGTGGGCACCTGGGCTCCTGCCCGAGTGAGTTCTTTCCTTTCCGATATCCACAGATACTGGGTGGTTGGGTGACACTGCCCAAGGTGACATGGCCAAGCACTTCCACCCCCTACTTGATAATCACAGTTTGTCCTTACGTCAGCTGGATAAGGGCTGTTATCCCCATTTGACAGATGAGAAAACTGAGGCTTGGGGGAAGGGAAAGGACTTTCTCAAGATCGCGTGGCTAGTGATAGGCTAGCTCTAACTCAGTCTCTGGGTGGCAAAGTGAGCATGTTCTTTCCCCTGCACCCTGCTGCAAGAGAGGGATCAAGCGTGGTCCTTGCAGAGTATGTGACCTGCCTGTTTGTGCCCAGTTGTGTTTGTGTTTGGGGCTTTGTCTCCCCTTCACTTTCCCTCATTTCTCTCCCCGAAACAGCAATTGACAGTTTCTTTTCTCACCTGGGCTTTGGGCTCCCTTCCTCCAGTTGTCCTTTCAAGAAAACTCTCTGGAACCCTGGCTCCAGCCTTTCTGGTGTTCATTTCTTGAAAAGTGAGAGGCAGCATGGAGGGCGTGGCCTGGCCCAGGCAGACCTCTTCCCGGCCTGGTGAGGGAGGCTGCACAGACTGTTTTTTTGGGTGGAGTAGGTTGGGCTCTGTTCCTTTTGCTCTGGGACCTGCAGCCTGGCCCACTGGAGGTGGGGAGGGGACGTAGAGGCGGGGTCCCCATCCCATCCCATGCAGTTCCAGAAGGGGCATCGACATCTTCAGGTTGACCTCGTGAGTAGCAAGTGCGAACTCAGAACTCAATTTTGGGGACCTTTTGAGGTGGGGCTTCAGAAGATCAAGTCACTTGCAAGTGCCAACATTGGTATTCAAATAAATTTAGGATCTGACTTGAGTCCAAGTGTTGCTCTGGCTAGAGTGCAGTGGCGTCACTGTAGCTCACAGCAACCTCAAACTCCTGGGCTCAAGCGATCCTCCTGCCTCAGCCTCTCAAGAAGCTTGGACTACAGGGGTGCACCACCATGCAAATTTTTCTATTTTTAGTAGAGACAGGGTCTCGCTTGTGCTCAGGCTGGTCTCAAACTCCTGAGCTGAAGCCGTCCTCCTGCCTCGCCTCCCAGAGTGCTAGGATTGCAGGCGTGAACCACTTGAACATGTTTTGTTTTTAGTTCTCATTCAGGAGGCTTTTTGCAGCCAAAGTTCACCCAGGAAGGGAAATTTGGGACTTGTCTATAAAGGATTAGGGGCTTAACCCTTTGAAAGACTGTCTCTCCCTTCCCCTCTCCCACTGCCCTGCTAATTCTACTGCCCTCTCTTTGGGGGTTTGATCACTCAGCGGACACTGCCTGCCTGCAGCAGGCTGTATGCTGACCTGTGGCACGTGCTGGGAAAACAGATTCCTGATATAATCTGAAACCCAATAAGCAACATGAAGGCTGTGCCTTCTGGAAGGATGGGGCACTGGGCAGGTGGGGGGTGGTTGAGGAAGGGTCGCAGCTCCATCTTGGCCCCTGACCTGGCTTCAGCTGCCCCTTCTCTTCTATTAATTTCCACTGTTTCTCCCCCCTCACCAGCCCCTCCTATCCCCCCCAAGGGAAATGGGACATTCTTCAAATTCTTAAGGGCTCACACAAGCCCTGGTTCTCTGCCACTTCCTCCCTCCATTGGGGAGTGGGGTGGGGTTCAGAGAAGCCAGGGCATTTAACCCCTTGGATGCTGGAGCACTTTAGGTTAGCTTCTGAGCCCATATCCCACCAGACAGAAGTGGGGCTGAGCCCCGATCCCAGTGGGCGGCAAGGGCTCCATGCTTCTTCACGTCTCTTCCTGAAGACTCTAGTAGCCTAAAATTCAGTGAGCCTTAGGAGTTGGAGAAAAATCAGAGGCTTGTCCTTGTTTTCTCTGTGTGTTCTCAGTCTAGTGCCAAAGTTCCAGCTGACTTTTCTTCTGGGGAGGCTGTAGCACGCGGGGGTGGAGGCCTTCAGGGGCTGGGGCCGTCCAGGAGAGGCAGGAGACCAGGAGACGAAGCCTCCCTCTCTGGGTGCTGCTTCCCCCTGCTGAAGCAGGGTTCCCCTGTCTCTCTCCTGGCCTCCAGCCAAAAGAAACAGGTTAGCCTCTGTCAGTTTCCTTTCCTGCCCTTATAGCCTAGCCTCTGCCACACCCAGTTGACCTTTGGCCCAGCTGGGATATTTCCCTGGGCAGACCCTGGTGAGGGAGAAGGGGTGGGGACTTCACGACCGGGCTGTGTAGCACCTTGCCCAGGGTAGGCATGTTCCCTCAGCCTGTGGCGACAGTCTAGGCCAGCAAACCAGACCTGGTGATTTTGGGATGAACCAGATGTGGGCCTCGCCTACAAGGAGTGCCCTCTGGACCTGTCTAAGCCCTGGTTTCCTCATGGTTAAAAATTCCTACCCTGGCTTGCTGCACCGTAGACCCAATAGTATTTATGGGCACCGGCTGTGTGCCAGGCACTGTGCCAAATGTTCACTGTCATTCCCTCCTGTTTTCTTCCTGCCCTGGCCCCATCTTTGAGTGACACCCAGGTTCCTGAATCCTGGGGCTTCGAGGGAATAGCTTTCCTGCTCTGGCCTTGCTCTGTGGACCACAGGCCTGGCTTCCTTCTCTGTAGCCCCACCCGCTCCACATGTAGGACCCAAAGGGGCGGGTGGTCTTTCCTGGCACTTTACCAGGGAGTTGCCCACCCCTCTCCACAAGTGACCGAGTGTGTGTCTGGTGTGCAGGGAGGCCTCTGTGTTCTGCCTGTCTCTGATCAGTCTCTGAGCCCTGAGGGAAGCTAGGATCTTGCAGGGGCGTGGTCAAGATAGAAGGAAGCTATCTTTTCACCACGGCTTGTCAAGATTGAGATTTAAATTCTGGAAAGGGACTGTAAACAGTGATAAGACCTCTTCTCTTTCTCTTCTTGGGGGTCAGGCAGGGGAGGGAACACAGGCCAGAGGTCACAGCCAGCCTGCCTGGCATGGACATCCGTGCGGTTACACACATGCCTGGTGCGGACCCAGACACTCGTGCAGGTGCTGGAGCTGGGGACGGAAGGCTGGGGAGCTGGACAGAATGGGCAGCGTTGTGTTCTCACATCCAGGGCTGCAGGCACTGCTGTGGCAAGGTGGAGGCCACACTCTGGTTTTTGCACAATAGCTAGCGGTGGAGGAAGAACCGCTAATTCTCTCTTGAACTTCTAGGTGGGTGGGGTGAGCCTGCTCTGCTGGCTAGAGAAATATTTATGCCCCCCGTTATTTGTTCTGTAAACTGGATTTTCCAAAAGTCAAGATCTGTCCACATGCTCTGGCTTAGCACAAACCTGCTTCTTTGTCTCCATGCAAATAGTCTGGGAGCCTGGAGGTCAGGGCAGGGGGTGGGGACGGGGGAGATGAGCCTGTTCCCTCCTCCTTGGGGGCCTCTTCCTTGGTGATTGGAGGACAGGAGGACAGCAGGTGGGGTTCCAGACCAAGGGAACCAGCTTTTGAGATGTCCAGTGGGGGATGGGCACGGGCTGGGGGGAGGAAAAGGGGACATAGTTGCACCAGTCCCGTCTTCACGGACTGCAGCTATCTGGGGTCCATTCTCCAGTTTCCTTGAGCTGTGGGGTGAGGGATGAGGAGGGTGGAGCGGTCCCTGATTTTGGGGAACCAGGTACTCTGTTCCTGCTCCTTCCCCCAGATCTCAGATGGGAGTGGGGTGGCATCTGTGCTGGGTGGGGCAGTGGTGGGCTGGGACAATTGGGATCAGATGTCTGAGGGAGCTGGTGGCAGCACCAGGAGTGAGAGTGGGAGGGGAGTGTGTGGCCTCCGTCTGGGGTGGGGAGGGTGAGTGCACATGGGTAGCCAAAGTGGCCAAATGCAGCCTCCCCCTCATCCCCAAATCCCCACACTCAGAGATGTCAGGGCCTTGGGGAACCTCAGGGATCACAATGCTTCCTAACACTCCCATTTTACGGATGAGGAAACTGAGGCCAGTGTTTCCATGCCTCAGTCAATGTGGCAGGATCCTTTCTATGTATTGCCAACAGGGGCAGGTGCAGGCTTTTTTTTTTTTTTTTTTTTTTTTTTTTTGTCCTTTTTCTTTTTGTCTGCAATCCCTGAAGGCTGGTAAGTTCTTCCTTCAGTCTAGCCTTGATCTTTTTCACTGCTCTTCTTTCCCCCTCTGGTCAAACAATGCCTCCTTGTTGCTGCTTATCCCCACCACTCCAGCAGCCCCTTAGGCCTGAGGAATGGGTGAGAAACTGGGTTAGCCGGAGCCCCCCTCCTGCCTGTGGGCAGTGTTCCCGGCAGGGGCTTTTGGAATCAGCAGCTCTTTCCAGAGGCAGGATGTGGGGGCTGTTTTTTTTTCTCCTTTTGGTAAAACCAAAAGCTCCTTGTTGCTCTAGTTGATGTATTTTTGCTCCCCCTTGAACACAAAGCTGTGGTTTTTGAAGGGGTCCAAGCTTGGAAGGAGTGAGGTCACGTGTGGAAAGGAGGAGCTGGGCTTTTGGGATCTCTGGTCTGTTCTTGTTCTGCTTCTGGCATGTAGCTAATGGCAGGATGGGAGTGAGGCTGGTGTCTGACAAGCTGTCCCTGTCACCCTGGATCTCATAAACTTTGCAGCCTCTCAGTACCCTCCTTGCCCTTGTAGTCCCTCCATGCAGGAAGGTGACTCAGAGGTCCTCAGGGGTACAGGGACAGAGGCCACCTCTCCTGTATCCCCACAGGTCATTGTCTGGCCTCTTGAAAAGTTCTGAGGAATAGGCAGGTCCTAACTGGGGGTGGCTGCCAGACCGCACAGAGTTTGTTGTCATGGCCAAGCTTGGAAGCAGGTGGGGTTTTTTCTGCCCCCACCCCGTCAAGCACGCCTTCCCCCAGTGCTCTGAGTGCTGGGGGTGGGCTGGGGTCCACCTGACAGATGACAGAAAGATGCCAGCCTGCCCTTCCTTAGCTGCTGGGCGGCTGTGATATAGGGGAGAGTGTGTTGGACAAGGCTCTTCCCTTGACACTCAGCCTCAGTTTCTTTGTCTGTAAAACAGGCACAGTGGTAAAGCCTACCTTGTCCAGCCCAAAGCCTTGTAGCAGGTTTCACAAGAAGTGTGCACGGGACACAGTACAACACGACGTTGCTTTGTGTGCCCATAAATCCTCCTGAAGGTCCAGGCTACCCCAATAGCTGCCTGATCGCCCCGCCCCACCCTTGTTCTTGTCCCTCTGCTTTTTGTCCAGGAGAAGCATATTCCTGGTTTTTGCCCTCGTGGATGCTGGGTCCCTTCCACTCCCTGCCAGGCATCCTGCCCTAGGGGGCTGGCTCCATTCCCCCCAACCCCAGCGGCTGACAGCAGGGAGGAAGGGTGCAGAGGGGCATGTGCCGAGAGCCCGGCGACTTGCAGTGATTAACCAGGGGCTGGGCACAGTCCAGCCCGTGGAGGGACAAAGAGTAGCTGCGCTCTGGCCATTCCATGCCTGGGTCTCCGTTCCCTTGCCTTGGCCCAGTCTGTGGTAGGGCCCAGGTTCTAGCGGTGTCACCAGCTGGGATGGGTGGCCCCTTGTCTGACTTAGCCCCACACTGGCACACACACATCTCTCCATCCCTACTGGGGCATGAGGGGAATGGGTCGGGGGAGCTTCAACCTGAGGGCAGAGAGGAAGGGAGAAGATAGAATTCCCCAAAATTGTTTCTGGCAGGAGGTCAAACCAGTTGGAGCCTTCTTCGAAGCCAGTCATCTTGGTGGGCGGTGGGCACAGCACTGACGTTCTTATGCCCTCCCTTCTAGAAACCAACCCGCAACACCTGTCTTCTTGCCTAAATTGTCTGTTGTCTGCAAGAGTCCTGCAGACACAATCTCCTGGCTTTGTCCTTGTGGACTCCTTAGTTGAGGACCCCATTGCTGTCTGTGTCGCTTCCCCCACCCCCATAGACCTCTCTCTCTCTCTCTGCTCTCACTGCTCTCCTGCCTGGAGCTGAAGATGAGGTTGCCATGGGAACCTGAAGCATAGTGAGCAGAGGAAGGGAAAGCAGGGTTGTCTCGCCAGGGCTGGGGGCTGTGGGGAGGGGACAGGGTTGACCCAGCAGGAGGAGTATAGCCCATGCTGCACATCTGCCTGCCTTCCTCTGCTGGGGTTGGGCTTAGGGGGCAGGGGAAGGAGCTGGAAGGTTCTTCAGCTCCTCTTTAATCTAGTTAATCTGATGCAGGATTAAAATCCTCTCCCACCCCTGCCAAATTAAGCTGAGTCAACGTCTAGGCTGGTTCACCCCCCTCTTCCCTTCGATGGGATTAATGCTCTGGCCGTGGGGGGCTGAGATCCACGGGTGACGGTGGGTCCACAGAGAGGATGAAGTACCTGCCAACCCCGACTGAGGCACTTGCTGCGTATTGTGGGGGGCTCTCAGACCTTCCGGTGGGTGCAGGGTGACAGTGGGTGCAGGGTGACGGAACAGAGGGACACAGTGAGGGGCATAGGAGGTGTGTGAACACAGCACGAACGCAGCTGCTGCGGATGGACCTGCTGGCCACGGTGTCTAGGAGATGCCGGTCGCTGCAGAGGGCACACCTGTATGTTCATTGTGTGTGAGGCACGACGCAGTGTGTAGGGGCCTGGGGACTGTGGAGTGCTCAGGTGCACCTGTCTGGCCGTCCTTGCGCCACTGAAGCTGGCTCTCCATTTTAACCCTGTACATGCCGGCAAATGGGAAACCCCAGTGTTTGCAGATTGGCTCCTGAGGACATGTGTTTGCAGAGCCTGCCGGCCACCCTGCCCCCGGCCCCCCAGCCTGCCTCCACTTCCCTGCCAAATGCTAACCATCTTCCCGGAATCGATCCTTCATGTTCTGGGCCAGCGCTGCCTGGGGGTCTCCTCCACCGCCTGCCTGCTCCTGTCTGTACTGACAGATGCCCTCCTGGCCACAGCCCCCGTCCCATGACGCCTTCAGTGTGGCTGTGATTTTGGGGGTGGGTCATCTCTGAAGCCCTCTCTCCTAGGGTCTCAGGGCCAGCCAGTTCTGCTGAGATCTTCCTTCAGTCCCTCTGCTATTTCTAGTCTCCAGAAACAGACTCCCAGTTGATCCTCCTTTGCCCTGGAACTGCTCAGGAATTCTGAGGGGAGCTCCTCAGCTGTGGGTGGCCCTGACTGCGGGGGCACCGAACCCTGGCTGTAGCCCCGTGTTCATGACAGGCCATGTCTGTTTCCGGCTGTAGGCATCTGTGTTTGCTTTTCCTCATCTGCTTCCGTCCCCCTGCTGGGGAGCTGCGAGCCTGGGCTGACCTGGGTGGCAGGACCCAGCACCCTGGCGTGCTGTGGGGGCTGGGGAAGGGGCACCGCTAGAATCGCTGCGCCTGGGACAGTGATACTAGCCCGAAGGGGAAAGGATTTGCCAAGGTCACCCAGCAAGTCAGTGGCAGGGCCAGAGCCCAGCACTCTGCCCTTTCTGGGCACACCCCCTTGGGTGAGTTCTCCAAACCCTGCGTCCTGCCCTTTACAAGCGGTGGCCCAGAAGGAAGGTGTATGTTTACAGGTGGCTGCGGCTCAGGGTGGTGTGGGCAGCTGGAGAACATGTTCAGGTAGGTAGGCAGCTCTCAGGCTTGGCCACCAACCAGGCGGGACATGTCTGGAAAGAGGTCCCAGGAGCTGATCCACCTCTTACCTAGGGGCAGCCCGTGGGGCAGGAATCTGCAGTGGTCACAGCTGTGGTAGGATGTGATCGGTCACCCAGAGCTAAAGCCAGACCTCAGGCTTCTGCTTGGAGGAGCCACCCACCAGTCCCCAAAATAACTGGGGCCCATGTGGACCCCCAGCTCTTTCTCACACCAGCACAGACACCAGCTGCCGTGACTCAGGGCTGCCTCTCCTGTAGCTGGTTTGCTGGGGGATCGTGATGACCCTGGGGACAGAGGGGACCCGAGTTTGTGCCCAGCTTTAATGCCTGGTGTGACATTCCTTTATTTAACACATTTATTCAGCACCAGCTACTATTCTAGGAGCTGGAGATAAATCGATGAATAGGAGACCAAAAAAATCCCTCTTCGTGGAGAAGTAGTGGGGAGAGAAGATGCACCAGAGTGATTAAGAAGTTAATTACGAAGACTGCTGAGTGACAAGTGTCTGGCATCACGCGCTACTACTTCCTCCTCTGAAATGAGGGGCTTGGACTGGCCTGTGCTGGAGGTCCCTGCAGGCTTGGCTCTGTGGGCTGCCCTGACTCCTGCTACCTCCCAGCCAGCCCTCCTGATGGGGGCCAGGACTCGGGTCCGTCCTGTGCCTGGAGATTGGACGGTTTAGTTCGGCATGCTGGGCACGGAAGAGATTGTCTGAGTGCAGATGTGGATCCTACCACCTACTAGCTGTGACGTTGGCCACGTTGTTCAACCTCTCTGGCCTCAGTTCTCTCATCTGTCAAAGGGGGACCCTGACAGTACTAGCCACATAGGGCTGCTGTGAGAGCTTGGTGACCTAAGGCATGTAAGCCCTCAGCACGGGGCCAGCAGTAACTGTGGTTATTACGGGTTGAGCATCCCTAATCCAAAAATCTGAAATCTGAAGTGCTCCAAGATCCAAAATTTTTTGAGTGCCGACAATGCACAAGTGGAAAATTCTGCACCTGACCTCATGTGACGGGTTGCAGTCAAAAAGCAGTCAAAGCTTCATTTCATGCACAAAATTATTAAAAATATTGTATATAATTACCTTCAGGTTAGTGTATAATGAAATTTATATTTATTTTATGAAACATAAATGAATTTTGTCTTTAGACTTGGGTCCAGTCCCCGAGATGTCTCATTATGTATATGCAGATCTTCCAAAATCCGAAAAAAATCAGAAATCCAAAACACTTCTAGTCCTGAGCCTTTTGGATAAGGGATACTCAACCTGTATTGTTACCCATCACGCACAGGTGACGTCTTTTCTGGCCTCAAGCTGGTCTTCCTGCCTACCCACCAATTAAGTTGGACCTTGTTAACCCTTTGAAACGCCACTTTGAATGGCGGTGGGCATCTCTCACCACTTCTTCCAGGAAGCCCTCCTGGATAGGTGTGTCCCTCTCCCTTCCTGTCTCCCTCTTGTCTTTCCTCTGCATAGTTGGTCTCCATTTCTGGTCTTAGCTGAAAGCTGAGTCCTAACCCCATGCCCATCTTCTCCCAGTCTGGCCCAGTGCCCTCACCACCGTATGTGGTAGACTCCAAGGCATGGATTATCCCCAAATAAGGGTGATCTGAACCCCTCAGAGTGTGTCCCAGTGGCCTGCCTTTGGTTCAGGACAGTTCTCCCTGGCTGGCTGGCCACTCAGGCCCGCTATGTCTTCCCGGGTCAGCCAGCCCAGGCCGAGTCTGAGAACCACTTCCCTCTGCCGGACCATGGCAGTGGGCACCGTGGCCCTGCTGCTGGGCCTGGGGCAGTGCTGCCCAGGCATGAGGGGAAGTTCCCGGGAGAGAGCCAGAGCTCTGCGGGAAGCCCAGAGGCTCCAGCCCTCTCCCCAGAGTGACCCCACTCTGTTTTTCTGCCCTGCAGACACTACCCCAAGCAGTCCTTCACCATGGTGGCTGACACCCCGGAAAACCTTCGCCTCAAGCAACAGAGCGAGCTCCAGAGTCAGGTGAGGGGCGGGGCTGGCGCTGTGGCCTGGTGGGGAGGGCTGTAATAACCCCCGGTTTGGCAAGGCCTCCTTCCTCCTGTGGTTACTATGCAAGGCCAAGGTGCTGAAATCCTCGCGCTTGCCCTGACCGTCTGCCCCCACCCCCAGTTACTTCCTATTTCCTGACTTTATCAAAGGAGTAGGGGAGCGCACGGCCCCCTTCCTACCTAAAGTAGGTTGGAGAGGCCTGGGTGTCTCTCATTCTCCCCTCCCTCCTCTCCATTCGTGCCTGCCTGCAGAGGAGGGATTTGGGGGAGACCAGGGAGCTCACCTGTCCGAGGTTATACTGCCCACCCTCTGCAGCCTTGCCCCAAACCTTCGCCACCTCTTAGAAGGCAAGGTGTGAGGGGACCTTGCCAAGGGAACCTGTCCTGCCTTTGTCTCCTCAGGCCTGATTTTGCTGGGCACTACAGTGGAGCAGAAGATGGGTTCTCAGCCCAGGGAGAACTAGGTCTTTTTTGTTTTGTAAAGACAAGGTCCCACTCTGTTGCCCGGGCTAGAGGGCAGTGGCATAATCACAGCTCACAGCAACCTTAAACTCCTGGGCTCAAGTGATCCTCCCGCCTCAGCCTCCTGAGTAGCTGGGACTGCAGGTGTGCACCACCATGCCCAGATAATTTTTTAATTTTTTGTAGAGATGGGGTCTCACTATGTTGCCCGGGCTGGTCTTAAACTCCTGGCCTCAAGTGATCCTCTCGCCTCCTGGCCTCCCAAACTGCTGGGATTACAGGCATGAGCCACCATGCCCAGCTGAGAACTGGGTCTCTAGGGGACACTGAGGAATAAGCAAAGAGTCTAGAACCCTGAGGCCAGGGCAATAACCTTGCCTGCCTGGGGGTTGGGAGGGCTTCTGGGCCAGACTTGGCCTGGGGTGGGGTGGGGCTGGGCTTCAGCAAGGATTAAAGGATTAACTGAGAGAACACATGTATGGGAATTTACCAAGTGGGCAGGGTGCCTGGGGCCAGGAAGATGTTGCAGAGGTTCCACGTGGGCCACAGTGGGGAGATCTTTCCCGATCCCTCTGGAGTGGGGCTCCTGCTGGCTGATCTTGGCACAACCCCTGGGTCCCATCAGGGAGAACCAGCCCTGCCCTGTGTGAGGCTCTCCACGCATCTCTCATGTAACCCTCCCAGCAAGCCTGTGAGGAAGCCCCTGTTCTTCCCCTTGCACGGATGAGGCAGCCGAGGCTCGGAGACGTTAAGGGGCTTGCTAACATCACACAGGGAGCAGGAGAGGTCACGACAATATTAACAGCTAATGAGCGCTGACAGCCCTGGGCATGCTGCTCATTTAATCCCCACAGCAGCCCCGTGCGGTGGGTAGGATCACCCACTTTACTAAAGACGAGGAAGTAGACACTGACTGCTTCGAGTGCAGGTTTGCTGAACCCAGAGACTTAAGTTCTTTCCAGTTTTCCATCTGACTCCTGGGAAAAGCAGTCTCTACCTTAATAGTAAACTGGATAGTCCCTTAAATGCTGCTGAGACCTTTTCCAGCTAAGCAAGTGCTTTCAGTTATTTGGCCTCGTTTATCCTGGAGTCTAGCGGGTAGGGAGAAGACCTGCTGTCTCTGTTTCACAGATGACGGGGCTGAGGCTGAGAGGGGCCCAGGGCTTGTCCTATTGACACAGGGCGGGTGAGTGAGGTTCCGGGATTTGGGCTCTGGTCTTTCCATTCCCATGCACGGTGTCCTTGACCACGTGCAGCCCTGGTATGGCCTGAGGCTCGGGCTTCCCATGCGTTCCACAGAGGAGGGGAGCACCAGCTCGTACCTGCCACCCCACCTTCCCGTGGCACGGACGCTGCAGTTCCTGGGGGAACCAGCAGGCAGCTGAGGGGTTCGGGTGGTCCAGCCTGCAGGGAGAGGGCTCGGAGATGGACTCCCCATCCTGTGGAAGGCCCCTGGGGACCAGAGGCGGAGGGGTTGAGAGGGACCTGGAGGTGCTGGGAGCAGACAGCAGGTCTTGAGAGGCACACACACACACCACCCTGCTCCAGGAGGAGAAATTCAAACCCCAGCCTTTCTCAGTCCCACAAAAGCCTGACTGCAGCTCTTTTTGCCCTTGGAACCTCATCTCTGGAGGGCGGGGTCTGTAGGAGGAAGCAGCCCCTGCTGTGTCCTCCCGGGGTGAGGTGGCAGCTGCCAGGCCATGCTGTGGCAGGGGCCGCTCTGCTCCTCAAGGGGAAGCGGGCAGCACAGGCAGGATTTTGAGGCTCCTGTGCCCACCTGTGCTCTCTGCTCCCCAGGGGCCCAGCCTGCTGCTCTCCTGTGTTCCCGGCAGGTCTCTGGGGAGTTTATGGGAAGGGCAGTCACTCTTCGTGAGGTTCTCACTGAGGGCCTGGCCGAGCGCCTCTGCGTGTGTCTGTGTGTGTCTATCCGTCTACGTGACCTTATTTAATCCTCATCCTGATGAAGGAGGGGCCCTTATCCCTGTTGTGCAGATGGGGACACTGAGGTTTGGCGAGGCTGCACTACTTGCCCCGAGCCCAGCAACGGGCAGATTTCAATCCAGTGGATCTGGTCCCAGAGCTCTTTGCTCTCGACAATGCTGCCACGCTAGCTGCTGTGGCACCAGCTTCGTGTTCCTACCCTGCAGCAGGTCACCAGCAGGTATTAGGGGTTGTTGGAATACAGATTCCTAGGCCCCACCCACGGGGCTTTGGGTCAGCAGCTCTGTGTGGGGCCCGGGAATCTGCATTCTGACTCCCCCAGCGATTCTGGTAGGGGCTTTTCGTCCCACTCCGAGGGGCTCAGAGCTGGAGCGGGAGCAGACGGGCTGAGCCCACCCTGTGTGTGCTGTGAGGGCTGCGAGGTGAGGGAGCAGGGCCGCCCACTGAGGACACAGCTCTGTTCCCCTGAGCTTGGGGTCCTCGGGCCTGGGGGCTGAGGGCTGGGTGGGCAGAGGGTGGAGAGGAAAGGGTGCTGTCCTCTTCGCAGGCCTTGTTCCGTCTCCTTTCCGCCGCCCACCAGCTGTGTGGTCTGAGGTTGGCCTCTCACAGCTGTTTTTACCCCTCATAGCTTTTTCCCTCACCAGTAAAATGGGGACAGCAAACCCAGTTGCCTCCAGGCCGGGGGTTGGGCCTGAGGCTTGGAAGGGCTGAGCCAGCCTGGCTGGGGCCGCGACAGGTTCTGGTTCCTGTGGCCGTGGTGGGGGCAGGGCTGGCAGGCTGGCGGGAAGGGAAGTGGGAGCCTCCTCTGCCTACCTAGCGCCACCCCACAGGGTGTCAGCTGGTCTCCTTCCAGTGCCCCTTCCCGGGCCTGCCTGGTGTGTCTCAGCCCTTCTCCGCCTCTGGGAAGCTGCCCATTCTATTTCAACTTTGTTTTCCCATCTCTATATTAGTCCCCAAAGTGGCACTTTGTCTGGGACACCTGGAGCCTCCCCTGCGGGGGAGGTGACCACAGAGCTGTCCAGAAATGACCCTCTGGGTGGTCCTGCCCAGGCCTGGCTGAGGCAGGGAGCTGACAGCTAGGCCCCAGGACCCCTCCTCACCTGCTGCTCCCCAACCCCAGGCGGAGAAGAGGCAGCAGCTTTGGGGTGGAACTGAGCTGGAGACATCTGTGTGGCCCGAGCCCAGGCGAAGTGCCAGGAGACTGTCTCTTTTCCTCCATCGTCTCACCTTCATGGCATTGTGGGAAATGCCACAGAGGGGAAGGGAGAGTGCAGTGAGAGCCTCACACTGCCCTATGACAGGATTTTTGCTCTTTTCTTGGATCTTTTGATCAGCACAGCAAGCAGCGAGCCCTCTTCCCTGGACTCGCTGGCCAAAGATCAAATCCCAGATCTGCTATCACTAGCTGTGTGGCCTTGGGCAAGTTATTGACCTCTCTGTGCCACCATGCCTTCTTCTGAAAAATGGGGATCGCTGCTCTCCAAAGGTGGTTGTGAGGATGTGAGTGTGTGTTACTTGATGGTTTCTGGCGTGGAGTCGGTACTCGGTGAATGTTTGCTCTCAGTATTTTCCTGGAAAGAAGGGAAACGGAACTTGTGCCCAGGAATGGGCACAACCACCTCTGACCATTGCTTCCGCCCTGGCCTTTGTCATTAGCTCTCCTCCCATCTGTGCACGTCCAATTTAAAAACTGATTTCTTTTTTGTTAGAAGGGGTGGGTTACCTAGCATGTGGGCCCAGCACACGGGAGGCACAGGATCTGTGGAAATTGTTGGTATTTTATTTTACTCAATAAATTTTTTTTAAGTCATGATCTTCCTACGTTGGGTCAAGGCAGTTCTTTTCCAAATTATGCTGCCTTGTTTGTTGGGAGATTACGTATGTGCATTCAGTTCATTCAGCATTCACCCAGATAACATGGATTCGTACCTGCTGCTTGCTGGAATAAATGAACGAGGCAGAGCCAGGGAGAATTACTAAAAGCCGACATGTGAGAAGCAGAGTTTCACAGATGGTGGCTGTTTGGGCGTCAGGAGCCTCTTGCGGCAGTCCTGGCCCTGAGGTGGGAGTTTCCGAGGGGGGAGGCCCAGGCACCTCCCGGGGACGGAGTCATCTGGCCGAACTGCTGAGTTGCACCATTACCTGACCCACAACTGGGTCAAGTGACCTCGGCAGGTCCCTCCCTGCACGGGGACCCCCGTCATGCTCTGGGGAGCCATCCCAGGCACCGAGGGCAAGCACTCCTGCTTGCGGGAGGAGGGGCTCCAGGTTAGACCCTCCCGAAACTCCTGACCCCTCAGCTGCCAACCTCTGCCACCCTTCCAGCACCCAAAGATCTCTCTGATTCTCCATAGACTGGAGATGCCTCAAAATGGTCACAGACTCTAGAGTGGGAGGCCAGCCCCCAGAGAGGGGAGCCAACTTGCTTAGAGACACACAGCAAAGTGGTGCTGAGCCCAGGCTCCCTCCTTTCTTTTTTTTTTTTTTTTTTTTTGAGACAGAGTCTCACTCTGTTGCTCGGGCTAGAGTGAGTGCCGTGGCGTCAGCCTAGCTCACAGCAACCTCAAACTTCTGGGCTCAAGTGATCCTACTGCCTCAGCCTCCCGAGTAGCTGGGACTACGGGCATGCGCCACCATGCCCGGCTAAGTTTTTCTATATATTTTTAATTGTCTGATTAATTTCTTTCTCTTTTTAGTAGAGACGGGGTCTCGCTCTTGCTCAGGCTGATCTCAAACTCCTGAGCTCAAACGATCTGCCCGCCTCAGCCTCCCAGAGTGCTAGGATTACAGGCGTGAGCCACCGTGCCGGGCCCAGGCTCCCTCCTTTCTTAGCTCCTACTCCGCCACCGCCCCCCAAAGCCCCCCCCTCTCTGGGCCTCCTATGTTAGGAGTGAAATGAATTATCCTTCCCCATCAGGGAGGGGAAGGCAGTTCCTGAGCCTGGGAACCAGCTGATGTCATTGCAGTATCGCCATGGCGATTATTCCTCCGGATTAGGGGCCTGACTGTTGCAAAGTCAGGAAGCAGAGGATGGAGTGGAGGACTGGCATTTGTTCAGCACTTTCACACTGACGAGGCTCTTTCGTCAGCGCGTGCAGAGCCCTTCTGAGCGCTCCACGGTGCACTTGTGCCGTTAGAGCCACTGTCTGCATCGTCGAGTGGCATGACGGGTGTTGTGATCCTCATTTTACAGATGTGGAAACTGAGGCTCAAGGTTAAGTCATTGGCCCAAGATCACTCAGCAAGTGGGAGACTGAGGGTGTCTTAGCACCAGCTCTGTCGTGGTGACAGGAAGGTCCCTCCCCATATTTTAACTGATCCCTATGACAGCCCTTTTTACAGATGAGGAAATTGAGGCTAGGGGCCTTTGATTCAGGGATTCTGGATTGGGAGCTACATTTTTCTGTGTGAGTGCCTCACCTTCCCTGATGCCCCCTTCCCAAAGAGACCCCACCAAGAGTCCCCGTGCTGGCGCGGGGCATCTTGGAAGAGCTGGTGCTCGGAAGAGCAGGTTCTAGACCCTAGGGCTGGGCTGGTGCTCACGCCCACCGCATTAACTTCTTTTTAGTCTGGATAATAACAAAGAAGGAAGAAGAACTGAACCTCACAGGTGGGTGACTGGGGCTCCAGGGGACAAACAGGGACCCCGACCCCTGGAGGATGTGCAGGGGCCTGACAGGCGTGGCCACGGCCGCCTCTGTGGTTGGTTGGTGCGGGTGTAGCCCAGTGCTGCGGCCGGATGACTCTGTGCCTGGAAGCTGCCTGGGTTTGTCATCCTGGAAACTCCCAGCGTCCTGGGCTCCATGTCCTGGGCTGACCTGTTTCCAGGACAGTGCAGCCCCTGTGGAGGAAATCCAAGCAGCTGGTGGGGTCTGGAACAGATGGCTGCTGAGGTGGACACTGAGGTCTCTGGAAGCCAAGAACAGTTCCCTGTCCCATGAGTATTTCCCAGCCTCATTCTGTTCTTTGAAACCCCCACGGAGGACAAGCTGTTCCTCATGTTTCAATTCCTTCAGTCGGTGTCAGGGAAGTCCTTTCTGATGTCTGACTTGAGTCCCTCTAGTACTGGGGGGGTAGGGTTCTTCCCGGATCTTGGAACCCTATTCTGAAGAGCTTCTGGCCCCCACCAGTTTCCTCCCCTGCTGTGGCGGAGGCCTCAGAAGCCAGCCTCGCAGGCTCCATTAAGCCACAGGGCCCGTCAAAGACTCATTGATCGGGCCTTCCCTGCGTCGGTCTCGCCACCCTCCTTTCTGGGCACCAACTTTGTCCTTTGGCACAGCCCGCACTCAGCTGCTCTCAGCGGATAGGCCCGGATCCTGGCTAGGGTGAGCTGGGGCTGTCTTAGCAGCTCTGGGAAGAAGCTTCTTCCTACAAGCTTTCGGGCAGGATGGGCTGGCGGGGAGGTGTCAGGAGTGAGGCAGATGAGGGTTTGCGTCCTGGTGGCTCCAGACATTTGCTGCTGAAGCTCTGTAACCTCGGGCAGGGAATCTGCCTCTGTGTGGTTCAGTTTCCTGATCTGTAAAATGGACCCAACGCTAGTGTGTGTGTGTGCGCGTGCGCGCGTACAAGTGTGTAAATGATGGACTTAAGGCAGATAGTTCACGTATGCGTGAGGCCCGTGGCACTGTGCCCACCACTCAGAACACGCTGAAGAAGGGTTAATGGCCGTTCTCATTAGTATAACGCTTCTTGGCTAAGGCTTCTGCTTTGAGTTGGGGGTTTCTGGTCAGGCTCTCGCTCCTCAATGGACCTGCCTCAGGTCCAGCGGTCACGGGCTGAGGCCCTTTCTGTTCCCAGCCTGACTCCTGTCCCTCTTCCCTCCCTCTCGTGTCCTCCAGGTACGCTACAAGGAGGAGTTTGAGAAGAACAAGGGCAAAGGCTTCAGCGTGGTGGCAGACACACCTGAATTCCAGAGAATCAAGAAGACCCAGGACCAGATCAGTAATGTAAGCCCTGCCTCCCGTGGCACCCCCCTCCCTTGGCACCCCTGCCGCCCTCCGTCTGGACCCCTCCCTGCCCGCCTGGCAGGTGTGAATGACGCCAGTGCCCTCCACTGCCCCTGCTCCCCTGTGGGCCTGGCTGGCGGCTGCTTGAGAAGAGAGAGGCATTTGGGGTTCCCAGATCCTCTTCTCGGTGCACCCCCAGACTCTGTCTTTGCCAGACTTTAGCCCACATAGCATTTCCTCCTTGAAGGGACTGTAGTTTTGCGGGGGTGTGCATAGGGGCCTGTGTGCTAGATCACCCCCCACTCTCTCTGAAGCTGTTTTTCTTTTTCCTGGGTATGGTGGGTGTCAGGGTGCAGGCTGGATGTTTCGTCTTAGCACAAAGGTCAGGGCTGGGGGGGTGGGGGCGGCGAGGGGCGGCCCCTGGGTGCTGACATTACAGTCATTTCCACCCTTCCTCAGTCATTTCCGCCCTTCCTTGGCTTCCTCCCCCACCTCGGCTTGCTCTTCCTTCCTGTGTAAAAACCCCAGCTGCAGCGTCCTCCAGCCCTGCACCTCCTATTCTGGGCCCTCCTGGGCCTGGGATGGCCAGCAGTGTCTGGCTGCGGCACGGGCGGGCGTGGAGGGCGGGCGGTGGGTCGGCAGCCTCCAGCATTGTGCTCCCTCCACGGCACCTGTGGCCAGAGGACAGGCCTCGGTTTCCTGCTTGGCAGAGCCACAGACCAGCAGCCTGTGTGGCTTTGGGCGTGTGGGGGCAGGGCGCTGCTGGAGCCACAACCACGGAACCCGCGCAAGCGACCTGTGCACAGGGTCCTGGGGTGCACAGAGTTGCAGGGTGTGCCCGGCGGCCTGGGCTGGGAGGTCCTACAAATGAAGGACGGGGCAAGAACAGTCGTCTTCATGTCTGTGACAAGAAGGGATAGATGAGTTGCTCAGTATCACTCTGTGCTGAGGGACTGTGGATAGTCTGGGGGAGGGCTGGGTCTCCAGTGGCCCACCCAGCGCCCCCCACACCCGGGCTCCACATCCCTTCCCAACCCCCACCTGGCCTCCTTGGCAGGACGTACCTTCTAGAGGTTGGTGGGTCATGCCTAGAGCGGGCGGCGGGTGGATTTCAGAGGCAACAGGGCAGCCAGTGGACGCAGCTACGCCCAAGACTGTGGCTCTCAAACTTCACATGGTGACCCACCAAGCAGGCAGGCGTTTATTTCGAGAGACAACAGAATCAGAACTTTTATCACTGAGTACTTACTCCTAAGAGTACATTCGGATCTTTTCTATTTGATTTTCTAAAGATGCTGGCGGCAGACTTACTAAATGGGTTTTGCAGCTAGGTTGTTGACCTGCAGTTTGCAGTTGAGGCCTGAGGAAATGGCGTGCTAGCCTGTGGCTGGGAGGGCATGCTGAGGGCCCTGATCCCTCTCCCACCGAAAAAGCCTGTGTCACAGTTTCCTCTTTATACGCCAGGGCCTGGCCTCACAGGCCAGGAGCTTCCCTTCCACCCAGAGCCCCACATGCAGAGTGGGGGAGGGAAAGATGGCCTTGGCCATGGGGAAAACCTGGAGCCGCTTCCAAAGCTGGACTCTGGACTCTGTAGCTTCTGGGGCTTTTCACTGTGAAAGGCCCTTGTCTTTTATCGGTGACACTTGCTCTCGGGCTGCAACTGCAGCTCCCAGTGCCTTCTCTCATGGCTTCACCCCGTGGGCTATGGAGGAGAGAGACAAGCAATCCCAGTCACCCCTGCCTCCCTTTCTGGATGGCTTCCAGAATACTCTATACCCAGCCATCCACCTCCTCTTCTTCCTCCCCCAGTTACTGGGCATGTTAATGTCCCAGTAACAAAACTCCCGGCCAAGACATCCACACTCAGGAGATAACAAAGGTCTTATCGTTAACAAAGGTGCTTGGTGCTAGCACTGCAATTAGCTGATGTTCCCTGCTCCGAGGTGGGGGAGGTGACTGGTACCTGACTTTCACAGCTTTCTCTGGCACCTGTGAGGTGTGACTACAAGGCTGGAAGACTCTTGGTTTGTCAGATGTGGGCCTCCAAACACCGTCTCATGATCACTTGTGGAGTCAGCTGAAAGGCAGACTCACAGGCCTCCTCCCCGCCCTCCACAATCAGCATCTCTAGGCGTGGGGCCCAGGAATCAGCATATTAAGCACATTGCCAGGGTTTCTGTGGTGCTCTCTGAAGTTTGAAAGCACCACCCAAAAGTCTGGAAAAGCTTCGCCCACCCCTAAGTCCGAGGGCACCAGATCTGGCTGTGTCCCAGAACCCCAGGGGAACTCTGAACCGTGCTCAGAACCAGTGGAAAACTGTCCCAGCCTCCGGAAGAGTTTTGGGAAAGATGGTATTTAGAGCCACACCTTGTATTTTGTCTCCATAATAGTGTTCCTGTGTGTAGCTTGTCACTTGCTTCCCAGATTAGCACCAAATGACTCCTGGCTATTTCTAAAGGTCAGACCATCTTGCAAAGAGCTGAAGGTTTGCTTCCCTGCAGGGACATGCAGCAGACTCGAGGTTTTACCAGCCAGAGCAATTTAAAAACTAGTGTCTGGTCTCCTCCAGGGGTGCTGTGGACAGATGCAGTCTGTCCTTAGTGCCGCTAAGAGGCAAGATGGTGAGGTGAGAGGAGGCAGCGAGGGCCGGAATCTAGCTTCTGTCCTTCTGTGGCCGGGTGGGATGCTTTGAGCCTCAGTTTTCTCGTCTGTAAAAATGGGGTCGGTAGCCTCTACCTTGAAAAGTGATTGCGAGGAAAATGTTAACCACTGGCATATGATAAATGTTGTCAATATTATTACTAATACTTTAAAGGCCAACCCGACTGCTTTCCATACTGCGGTTGAAGAAGGGACATGAAGTGAAGTGTGGTTGAAAAGTTTGGTTATCGTCTAGTACTGAGAATGCGTGGGAAGTTGTTTTTGTTTGTTTTTTTATGAGACAGAGTCTCACTCTGTCACCCATGCTAGAGTGCCGTGGCGTCAGCCTAGCTCACAGCAACCTCAGACTCCTGGGCTCAAGCGATCCTCCTGCCTCAGCCTCCTGAGTAGCTAGGACTACAGGTGCACACCACCACGCCCAACTAATCTTTTTTGTTTTTAGTAGAGATGGGGTCTCGATTTTGGTCAGGCTGGTCTTAAACTGCTGACTTCAAGTGATCCTCCCGCCTCGGCCTCCCAGAATGCTAGGATTACAGGCGTGAGCCATGGCGCCTGGCCTGTGTGGAAAGTTTTGAGGAAAGCTGCTAGTAAGTTATATATCTATGCTGGGTAATAGTGTCATCATTAAAGGCATCTAAAGGGTGGAGAAACCTGTGCTGTGGGATGAAGTTTATACGTTCAGAATCCAACCTTTGGTCTTGAGCTCTCATGGAGTTAATGGATGGGCAACTTTAGTCGCTGGAGTCCCCTTTTGGGAGCCTCTGCTTTTGTTTACTTACATATTTACTTATATATTCATTTTCTCTATACAATTTTATGTCTTTTAACTTTTTTGGTGAAATATAACATGTAGGAACACATATAGTAAACCCCTGTTTGTTCACCATGCAGGTCAGGAAATAGAACGTTACATTACTGTACCGCTGTCAAAATCGTTTTCACAGTATTAAAAACATAATACTGGCCGGGCGCGGTGGTTCACGCCTGTAATCCTAGCACTCTGGGAGGCCGAGGCGGGCGGATTGTTTGAGCTCAGGAGTTCGAAACCAGCCTGAGCAAGAGCGAGACCCCGTCTCTACCAAAAATAGAAAGAAATTAATCGGACAGCTAAAAATATATAGAAAAAATTAGCCGGGCATGGTGGCGCATGCCTGTAGTCCCAGCTACTCGGGACGCTGAGGCAGGAGGATTGCTTGAGCCCAGGAGTTTGAGGTTGCTGTGAGCTAGGATGACGCCACAGCACTCTAGCCCAGGCAACACAGTGAGACTCTGTCTCAAAAAAAAAAAAACAAAAAAAAAACATAATACTGTGTGGTGGGTACCTATCATATATTTATTTAACTCATTGTGAGGGAATAGGTGGAGATTAAAGCTGGGGAATATGAGAGGCAGAGGTAAATGCTAGTCACTGAAAGAAAGTGCTGGATACAATTAGTTACTGCACTAGTTAAGGTCCTGCCATTAGCTACACACTGGTTATACATCCTACAGGAGAATAAATCCATAAACTTTGAAGATATCTTTGCTACAGGCAGAAATCCTTTGCATCTCTGTCAGCCAGAAATAATTGGCATTTCATATTCTATAATTAGCTTCAGTCTTTAGAGTCTGGGCCTAATCAATAGTAAATAGTCAAAGTTTCATCCCCAGAGTCAAGTGGCCTGGAGGTAGGCTTGTTGGACAATCCTCTAGTTTAATTTTGAAAGCACGTACTTTTCTTTATAGTTTTATTATATAACTATGTATTTCTAAACACTGTAATTTTTTTTCCTAATTTTGAACACCTCCTATACAATTTTTTTGTGTCTTACTGCTTTCGTACACCATTGTGTTTAAAGTTTCGTCTATATTTGCATGTCACAGTAGTTCATTCTTTTTCATTGCTGTATAGTATTCCACCGTGTGATTATGCCACCTTTTATTGATTCTGTTGTTGGTGGCCGTTTAAATTGTTTCTGAGTGCTATGGACATCCTCGTATGTATCTCCTGGTGCTTATTTAGAGTGGAATTGCTAGATTTTAGAGTGCATGTTCCTTCGACTTTATCAGATAATGCTGAACTATTTTCTAAGTGTCTACACTGATTTACCCTCCCACCGGCAGTGATGTGTTTCATTTTTCGTGTCCTTGGACGTGTTCATTTTCTCCACTTTGACCATGTGTAGTAATATCTCATTGTGGTTTTAACTTGAGTTTCTCTGATGACTAATGAAGTTGAGTGCCAATTTATGCGTTTTAAAAACAAACTATTGTGAGCCTCTAATAGGGAGCATTATTGCATGGTAGTTGAGAACTAAGTGCTGATGTTAGAACTGGATTCTGACTTAACCCACCCCTTG